CCAGCCAGGCTGGCCGGGCGCTGGCCAGCAGTGACGTGTCAGTTCCCGCATGCGAACGGCCCAGGGCGCGGGCAGTGCGTGCATGGGGGATGGCCGGGGGAGCTTGCCAGCATCTGGAGGGCACCAGGGTGGCAGGGCTTCCTCCGAGTCCCAGTGTGGCCCTGGAGTTGGGAACCAGCGTGTGAGCAAAGCGGCCCAGCTGCTACATGAACAGTAGGGGGCTTGGCCCTGCTGTGCTGGCCACGGGTCAGTCTCCCGGCAGGGCAAGTTCAGTGCACCGTGCACCGTGCTCCGCTTCCCGGCTGTGTCCCCTTCACATCCACGTGGCTCTGTGCTCCCAGCCACGGAAAAATGGAGAAGCCTCAGGTCACCTGCCTAATTGTACAGAGGTGGGTGCCAGCCAGAAATCCCCCAGAACGATGGAACCTCTGCAAAGCCTGGCCCAAACCAGGGGTCCAACCCACCCCCTGCCTCCTGGGGTTCGCGCTCTGGCCCCGGGCCCAGGGGAAGACATTCATGGCGCAGGAGAAAGCTGCTGCGTTATTCCCCTCGCTCTCTGTAGCGCAGCCGAGCGCTGGCCGTCTGAAGCGGGCGGGAGGGGAGAGCAGCCTGAGCCTGGTGTTCCCAGACCCGAGCGCAGGCCGACGGATGGAGCCCAAGTCAGGCTGGTTCTCGAGGAGCAACCTCCCCGTGGAAGAAATTTTACTAGAAAAAGCAAAATAAATAGCGCGCAGCTCTGCCCGGAGACTGCCCAGCCCCCTCCGCCGCCGCTGCCTACTGGGTCTTGCACTCCCCGTCCCCATCGTTCGCTGCCTTGATCTTCTTCAGCTCCTTGCGCAGCTCCTCTTCCGCGGCCAGGATCTCCTTGGGCTTCCGGTACTGCAGGGGAGAGAGCGGCTCAGTGCTCCTCCGCCCAGCCCGCGCCTCGCCCCTTCCAGCAGCTTCCTCCCTTGCTGCCTGCCTGCAGCCTGACTGGAGCCCGCCAGCACCCCGGCGAGGGACCGCTGGCCATGATTTGGGATGGGCTTTGTAGGACAGATCGAGAGCAACGATCCCTCTCTCACTTTGCCATCCACGTGCAGGATCATTTTTGTTCTGTGCACTGAGACTGGTGTGGATGTGCACCACTCCCAGAAACACCTGCTGCCGGCTGTGGGTGCTCTGCTAATCAGCTGGACGGCGCCTAGTTTCCAGGGACACTGCTCCCGAGCCCTGCAGGTATCACCTGGGCCATGTGGACCCCAATGCGCAGCAGAGCAGGGGAGCCCTTGGACACAGCAGCCTCGTAAGTTTCAGCATGTGCTGGATTTTTGGCCAAGGTTTGTGAGCTGGAAACTGCAGCCCATGGGCTGCCTGGCACTGTCAGCAACCACCCTGAGGTACTGGACTCCCCCCCCACCCCGGCATCAGGCCAGTCAGCTCAGCGCTGGAGCCCCTCTGTGACCCCGGGCAGGTCTCTCGGGGCCTCCCCTCCCCAAGCTGAGGAGCAGGGAGGCCGTAGCACCCACGGCTGGGAGCTCACCGTGATGATCAGGGTGGCGTTGGCGTACGTGAAGCTCAGGGCAGCGGCATCCAGGGGAAGCTGGTACCTGTCCATGTCCGGAATGAGGAACTTCTTGTAATATCTGCACGCAAGCACACGAGAGGAGAGCCCTGACGGTCTGTCCTGCTCAGCCCGCACGCCGGCCCCTCCCTTCCTCAGGCAGGCTGGGCTCACCGAGGCGAGGGGCAGATGGGCCCAAGGAAGGCGGCACTAGCCTAGCAGTGCCAGTGGCCCCCGATCTGTGGGGAGGAGCTGAGCGCCTGGCACCCAGACAAGGAGGGACCCGAAAGGAGCCAGCGCTCTTGAAAAGGCAGCTCTGCCGGCAGCCCCAAGCCAGCCTGCTCCAGCTGCTGCTGCCAGGCCCTCTCAGCGAGAGGGGAGCTGCTGCCACAGCTGCGTCCTTGGAGCTGAACAGCCCCAGAACCTGGCTTCTGCAGACCCAGCTGGCACTTCTGAGGAAGGGGCTGCGGCTCCCCGCGCTCGCCAGACGGGCTCCGAGGCGGCGTGCGGCACCCTGGGCTTTCCCCGCACCATGGCGCACGGCCGTTGGGCTCCGCGGCTCCGGGGAGGGACAGCAGCGCTCCCAAGGGATGCACAGTACCCAGCGGTCCTCGTGCGGCGTTCCTAGCCGGTTCGCATGTCCCTCTGCAGGGGCGCCACTCAACCAGGACGGGGGCTTGCTCCAGCGCCCTGGACTTGAGCTAACCGGAGCCTCTGAAATCCCAGTGAAAAGCCCCTCAGGTCTCCATGTGCCCATGGGCTGGGTCTGTCCCGCCAGGACGCTGTTCCCTTTGCAGCTTTAGTGCCTGCATGGGTGCCCCTCCAGCTGCCCCTCCAGTCACTCAGCGCCGACCCCAGCCTCAATAGCGTCTCTCTCCTTGAACAGCCCCCTCCCCTGTCAACGCTCCCTTCCGGCCTCCCCCCGTTTCTAGCGCACGGCTCGGAACGGCCTGCACTTGGCCCAACTCTGTGGGGACACGGGACTCCTGGGGTGGGTGCAGCCCCACGTCTCTCATCGCATGCCAGCTGAGGCCGGCGCAAGTGTGCAGAGAGGCACAGAAGCCAGCTCTGCAACCCCACTCACAGCTGGGCGGCCAGGACCCAGGCCTACTGCTCCACCCGCCGCGCATCCGTCCTGCCAGAGACAAGGCAGAGAGCCCCGGAGCCAAGGAACGGGCCACAGGCCTGCCTGCTCTGGGCACCTGGCATTGGCCGCTGAGCTGGGTGGGCTCTGGTCTGCCCCAGGCTGGCAGGGAACTCCACTCGGCTGGCTCCAATTGCTGGGCTTTAACCACGAGCCCCCCCCTCAGCCTGCTGGCTGGTGCTGAGCCATCCTCTCCCACTCGGGGCCAACACCTTCCCTGGAGATGCTTCCTCCCCCCCCAGCCAGGCCTGCAGCCCCACTGGGCAGGGAAACTGACCCGGCTCTGACCGGACAAGGGTTGGTTTCCGACTGTCAGAGCATGAGGGATTCGCCTCCATTAAGGCAGCTTTGCATGAAGCCCGGCGTCTTTCTACCTCTGCCCCAAGTGCAGCGAGTTTATTTTCCAAGTCCTGGTGAAAACAGACACCAGGGCAAATGGCTCTCGCGCTCGGGAGGAATGCGAGCGGTTTGTTACCGCAGGGCTCGAGCCATTCTGTGCTGGCGCTGCTGGCGGCATTTGGGAAAGGTGGCAGACACGGATAATAAGGGAGGTGTCAAAGGTTAAACAGCAGAGATTAGATGAACACAAAGCCCTGGTAAGGAAGTGTTACCGCTTAGACAAAAACGCAGGACACAGGAAAACCCACCGTTTGAAAGGGCTCCCCATATCAATGGAAACACCAACATTCTGCTGCCTGAGGACTAAGGAGCAGGGAGAAGAATGGCTTTGACTGGCCTCAGACTCCAATCTGTGACAAGATCAAAGGAAACCAGATCTGCCCGGCCGTCCCCCTCCTGGTAACATTACCGCTACCTCTGGCTTGCAGAATGGAAGCGGGTTCGGCAGGCGGGGAGGCGGCGGCTTTGCGGTTTTGTTTTCAGAATTTACTTTAATGGATTTATTTTACAGCAAGAGGCTTTACGCAAATCCCACTTGAGCAGCCTTCACCATGGCCAGAGGGAAGGAGAGCGACTGGGCGGAAGCTCCAAGCACCCGCTGCCTTCCGTGTGTGGCTCTCGCTCGGAGGCAGAGCATCGCATGTGCTGGCTCTGCTCAGGCACCGCGGATTCTCTGCCCTGGGCTCTCCCCTTGTGGCTGAGGTGGGAGCGGCACTTTCAGGCGGGTCCCAGAGCAGATGCAGGCAGAGGCTGTGGACTGCCTGAGCGAATTCATTTCCAGGCTTGGTCTAAATGGGGTGCTTTGAAGAGAGAATTCTATTTACAGCTGCCCGGGAAACGCCTTTCTTCAGTGTAAACAAAAGACAGGAGGATGCAGCACGTTAAAGACTAACAAGATGGTTTATTAGGTGATGAGCTTTCGTGGGCCAGACCCACTTCCTCAGATCAAATAGTGGAAGAAAATTGTCACAACCATAGATACCAAAGTTCTGAAATGTGATTTGTCCTTTTCATATTTGTTCATTTTTTTTAATTGTATCCTTTGGTATATATGGGTGTGACAATTTTCTTCCACTATTTGATCTGAGGAAGTGGGTCTGGCCCATGAAAGCTCATCATCTAATAAACCATCTAGTTAGTCTTTAACGTGCTGCATCGTCCTGTGTTTTGTTTCAGCTACCCCAGATGAACACGGCCACATTTCTATCACTTTTCTTCAGTGTAGTAACTGAGGCCTTGGAGTCAGAAAGCCCAGATGTTCGCTAGCAACTGCTCCCCAAACAGCCACAAACTCCCCCCTTTTCCTGCTGCCTTCCCCTGCGTTAGGAGTAACTGAAGTGCCAAGTGCTGTGCGAACTCCTGGGGGCTAATCTCTCCCTTGTGAGCATTCGGTCGCTGTCCATGGATCCATTGCCTTTGGCGGGATCCGCTACGAACAGTCAGGCAGGGTCTGGATCCAGAAGAATGGCCGCCGTTTGCCCAGGGCACCTGTCACTGTTGTCTGAAGGGAGCGTGAGCCTTCTCCCCCATGAGGTCAATGCTGGAGTGCCCGCTGGTGCAGTGGAGAGGACCAGGCACCGGGATCTCTCTGAATTCCCTGCTCCATAGCAGAAGCAGCACGTTCCCTCCAGAACCCGCCTGCTCCTAGCTCCGTACTACACAAGCCGAGGAGTAGGGAGGAAACATGCAAACTAACTGAACCCAAAGCTGTAAAACCCTCAGCTGACCCCCTCGGAGGTCAGCTTGTGCGCCCAGCTGCAGCGTGGCCACTGTAGTGGACGATCCTTCAAGGAGAGCGATTTTCAGACCCCTGCAGCATTAGTCCCACAGCACTGTGGGCACCCGGCACTTTTAAATAGGGATGCCAAGATGTAGTCGACTACACGATAAGCCCGGGCTTACCGGTTAATCCTGTCGACTACACGCACTCCCCACCCCCTTGCAGGAGCCAATCCGTGCAGGAGCTGACCTTGCGGTGATTCACTGCCAGGGGTGGCCATGTAACTTCCTGTTCCTGCCTAGGGCAGCCCCCTGCGTGACTGGGGGGCACTTGGCGGAGGGGGGTTACTTCTGCCATTCAGTTCTCCAGGGCAGGCCTGCCTAAGTCAAAGTCAAAAGCCACTGCACAGGAGAGAAAGGAAAGTTACTTGCCAATAGCACCACCTACAGCCAGTCCCGAGGAGCTGGACTCGAAAGCCACGGTGCTAAGCTGGGCAATTCCAGGCGGGGGCGCTCCCCAGTAAACTCTTTTCTCTTTCGACAGCGACGTTTTGGGGAAGCTGGAGAGCACAAGGCAGCAGGCTCCAGCTCCTGCTCAGCACCCCCCGGAACGTACCAAAGCAGGATCTTCTCCCCTATCTGCCAAAGGGCCCCGGCACATGGAGGGAAAGGCCATTTTTATTCACCTCCCTCATTCCCCTTTGTCTCAACTCTCCTCTCCCCCGACTGCAGGCCCGTGTCTGGGGCCCAGCCGGTCTCATTCAGTGCCCAAAGCCCCAGGCCGCCAGCCACATGAACTTACATTTAACAAGCAAGGGGCAGTCGCAGGTCTCTAGGGTATGTCCATGCATAGGAGATACAAGCTCTAGCATGCCAGACACTGTGGTTCCAGGGGCCACCTGGGCTAGCGAGCCATGCTCTGAGCCAGGGGCTCAGGTGGGCTTGAGAGTCTGAGCCGCAACATCCCCCAGCTGGCATTAGCACGTTAGCTCATGCCATGGTCATGGGAGTCTGTCTGCCTGAGCCAGGACTCGCTTCCTGCTGCCACGTGGACAGAGCCGAGCTCTCCACAGCAGACCCAGGCTGGCGTCACTGTTGGGTGCGTTCTCTGCTTCTAGATTAGAAAGCTGCCTTGTTTTGTACCCGCGTCACCCTTCTGCAGCTGGCTGCATCCCGCGCACAGTAACAATGGCCCTTGGCTGCAGTCCTGTGGCTTTGAGTATCCTGACATCTCCTGGTAAGTTCCAGAGATGTAGCCAGGGATGGGAGAACAGGAGGATCTATGCTTGCTAAGATGTAATGCCTCTAGGGCTCCCCTCCAGTGCCCCTGCGCCTCAGAAGAGGTGACAGTGACTAGGTTATACCCGAGGTGTATCAATTGAGGGGTGACCCTAGTCTGGGCAAGAGGAAAGGAGAAACCAGTGACGGTGGTATGTGGGGGACCCAGGCCTGGAATCCCAGGGGTGCTGCAGGACAGGACAGAGGTGCAGCAGAACTGGGTGGGGCGCCCTGGAGTTGATTAGTAGTGGGGGTGAGGGGCTCTGTAAGGAAAGCAGCCAAGAAACCGCTCAGGCCATCGCCCTCTTCCCCAGAGGTGGGGGAGAACATCTCCCCAGTCTCATCACGTCTCCTCCCCTCCGGCTCCATCCCACTCCACACAGAACAGGCAGGGAGGGTTCGGTGAAGGCTGTGCTGTGCTTAGAATAGTGATAGAAATGTAGCCGTGTTAGTCTGGGGTAGTTGAAGCAAAATGCAGGACAATGTAGCACTTTAAAGACTAACAAGATGGTTTATTAGATGATGAGCTTTCGTGGGCCAGACCCACTTCCTCAGATCAAATAGTGGAAGAAAGTAGTCACAACCATATATACCAAAGGATACAATTTAAAAAAATGAACAAATATGAAAAGGACAAATCACATTGCAGAACAGAAGGGGGATGCGGGGGGGTGGGAAGGGGGAGGAAGGAAGGAAGTGCTGTGCTTACTGACTTTTTGTTGGTGGTGCGGACAACGCAGCAGCGCTGCTCCTTCTCCACAGACACGCTGTAGACTTCTTTGGGGTAGGGCAGGTTCCGGATCCGCCACTGGAAACTGGTCAGCGCATCCCTCCTCACGAAGATGGGCTACAGCAAACACAGACACGTCTGATGGGACACAGCGAGGCCAAGGTTATGCGCTAGGGTTATTGAGCGTCAGGCAGGCTGCTGCTGGGCGGGCCAGGGAGGGTAGGTTTCCTCTAGATTACTCTCCCAGTGAGTAGGGAGGCCAGGGAGACTTATGCTGCCGTTGGTACAGGGAACTGGCTTTCCCCATGGGAAGGGCAACAGCCGCAGCATAGCTGCAAATCCACAGCTGCTAGAGTCTAGTTCTGGTTGGGCATGGCTCTGGGCCTTGATTTTTTTTCTTCTGTAAAACAGGGGCAGCAACAGGCCTGGCTCGTGTGGGAGGACTGACCCACCAGCATAAAGCATGGCATGTATGATCCAGTATAGCAGGCTCTCGCCCTCCCCCGCGTCACCCTCACCAGAATTTCCAACTGCCCTTTCAGGCTGCTTCATGGACAGAGTGAGCAGGGCAGTACAGGAGATTTCTCCACTCAGGAAATCTACAAATCCCTTGGGGACAGCAAGGAAACCAACCCCCAAGTTTCCCTTTCTCTCCAGCCCCCACCTTGTGGGCACCACAGACCTGAGCCCTAACCCAGCTGAGTCCCTGGTGGGGAATGGTCCATAGAGACAAGTCCTAACTCAGGTTCCCAGCCCTCCCTGGCTGCTGCTAATGAGGGCATCCTGGTGTGAACAGGGCCACCTTACGTACATTGGAGCTGCTTTCCTTTATGAGCTCCGATTCCAGCGCTCCCCCCGGCGGCAAGGTCGGCTCTCCCACCTCAACCTGCCACTTGCCCAAGCGCCCCAGGGCAGTCTTCTCTCGCCACTTTCTAGCTGTGGAGGAAAGAAGAGTCGTCTCTTTACTCTACTCTCTGTGGTGGAAAATCTCACCAGCACCTCAGCCAGAGCCCTGGCTGTGTCTGACTAGGGCTTTGATGGGGTCTCCCTCTCACCGTCACTTCTACTAAAGGGTAAAGGACCATCCATCAGTTTTTCCCCACGCAGCTGAACTCAGCAAGCGGTGTTACTGATCGCTGCAAGTGTCAGAGGGGGAGTCGTCTTAGTCTGCTTCAGCAAAGTCAACAAGGACGAAGGACGAAGGCATTTTATCTGGGCACAAGCTTTTGTGGGCTGGAACCCACTTCCTCAGCTACATGCAGCGTGCCTCTGAGCACAGCTTATGCTCAAATGAATGTTAGTCCTTAAGGACTCCTCCTTATCCTGACTCACGGCAGGGGCTCCGTCTGAGATCAATACACGCACTGCTGGGTCTGGGGAGGTGGGCTTTGGAAGGAGACACAAAGCGAAAAGCTGGACCACGTGAGGTGACGTGTTCCTGGCCTTGCACCCTAGGCCAATGCAAATGGCGATGTCTCGCTGAAGTCCTTCGGGCAGCAGCGCTGCTGTTGGGGAGACGTCCCCGCCACGACGTGAAGCCAGAGCTGCCTGGGCCCAGTTCTGCTCATGAAGACCCAGGCTGGCCCTGCTGCCGTCACTGGGGGGTGCAGGCAGGTAACCTCGGGCAGGACTGACCCTGCAGCACCCTGCGTCCTGGCCACCTGCCCACCCAGTGACACCTCCCTGCTGCGCTAGGCTGGGCGGGAGTTATTACCAAGGGCAACGGGGGGGGGGGCCTGT